ATACTTAGTGTAATGTATTATTACTACTATGATTATATTTCTCTATATCTTGTACATAACGTGTCATTTCCGCTATTGTAATAAATTCATAGTATTTCTGTTCTCAGTTGGGGCACATAGAAGTTACACTGCCTGGCACTGTAACTGTCACTTTCCTTTGTTATCATGATCTGTGGATGTCCATCTTAGTGTTTGATGATCGCTGCTGCTCTTCCATGTTTGCTCCGGCTGGTTACTGTTTTAAAACGTTTTATCTGTCTTGGCTGGTTATTTACGGTGTCGGGAATATTTGGATCATGCGTAACACGGGGTTGTATTATTTTTTGTTTTCACACCGTGTCCAGTTTCATCAAATAATATATATAATATATATATATATATATATATATATATAATATATATATATATATATATATATATATATATATAATATATATAAATTGTTGAAATAAATTTTCATAGTTAACTTAGAGCACCGTGTTTTATTCTTTGAACATCATTGTTTTGTTACATGTGCTTAGTTATGTATTTTTCCTAGACAGTAAATTCATATTAATTGTTGATATTTGCTATTTTACTTTCTTGAATATTGTGTATTAATAAATATATTCAAGTTCACATGTGTCGTGGTACAACTTTACACTGGAAATCAAGTATCAGCAGTCATATTTGGACCTGTAGGCATTGTGAACCAACAAAAACAATAAACTGTTTTGTTAGACTATAAGTCAGCAAATAGTAATCCACTTTATCAGATTTAATCTCACTTAAAAAGATCTTTGGTGGGAAGAGAGATGTGGAGAGCGATTACTACCGGTAAGATAAACACAGATATTATGTGACGAAGATATTTTCTGAATTAAGAGTGTGGTATCTCTACCAGTGGCGCAGGTAATAAATAGATAATATTACTAGGTGATATTAACTATAAGAGGAATATATAATAAATGAAAACTACTAAAAAAACAGAACTGGCCATTTAATTGAGAAAATTTCCTTCAGTATTAGTTGTAGAAGGTTGATGGAGGTGGTGGAGCGATGGTTGTAGATGGTGAAGCGACGATTGTAGATGATGGAGCGATGGTTGTGGATGGTTGAGCGTTGGTAGTAGATGGTGGTTATGTTAGAGGTGGGAAGCAGGTGGATGTCTGTTGGAAGTGGGAAGCAGGTGGGTGGGTGTTTGAGATGGGAAGCAGGTGGGTGTTGAAGGTGGGAAGCAGGTGGGTGTTTGAAGGTGGGAAGCAGGGTGTTGAAGATGGGAAGCAGGTGGGTGTTGAATGTGGAAGCAGATGGGTGGGTGTTGGAGAAGGGAAGCAGGTGGGTGTTGAAGGTGAGAAGCACGTGGGTGGGTGTTGAAGGTGGGAAGCAGGTGGGTGGGTGTTGGAGATGGGAAGCAGGTGGGGAAGTAGGTGGGTGAGTGAAGTAAGCGCTGTGTTTACCTCTGACATACGTAGTGTGGGTGTGTGAATTGTGAACTGCGACAGTGAGGGGTGGGTTGACGTAACGAGGGAGAGCGAGGGGTGGGTTGACGTAACGAGGGAGAGCGAGGGGTGGGTTGACGTAACGAGGGAGAGCGAGGGGTGGGTTGACATAATGAGGGAGAGGCGAGGGGTGGGTTGACATAATGAGGGAGAGCGAGGGGTGGGTTGACATAATGAGGGAGAGCGAGGGGTGGGTTGACATAATGAGGGAGAGCGAGGGGTGGGTTGACATAATGAGGGAGAGCGAGGGGTGGGTTGACATAATGAGGGAGAGCGAGGGGTGGGTTGACATAATGAGGGAGAGCGAGGGGTGGGTTGACATAATGAGGGAGAGCGAGGGGTGTGGTTTGACATAATGAGGAGAGCGAGGGGTGGGTTGACATAATGAGGGAGAGCGAGGGGTGGGTTGACATAATGAGGGAGAGCGAGGGGTGGGTTGACATAATGAGGGAGAGCGAGGGGTGGGTTGACATAATGAGGGAGAGCGAGGGGTGGGTTGTACATAATGAGGGAGAGCGAGGGGTGGGTTGACATAATGAGGGAGAGCGAGGGGTGGGTTGGGGTAATAGTGAGGAGAATTAGATTTTACATTTTGGTGTGGAAGCGTCTGGTGTACTGTGCACCTCACATTCATCTTATAGAAGGTAGCACAAGAGCATATGGATACACAAAAAATATAACATAACATTCAAAAATATAATATAACATTCAAAATCATTATTTACTTATATCTCCTAATGTTATTCCTAATTCTAGATTTAGATATACCTAAGCTATATTCTGCATTTTCCTTCAAGGTTCTTTCTTTGGCCTATTTATCAACTTTATCTTCTAGTAATTCAGTGTGGAATAGAATCCCTAAGAACTGTACATGAATTCCCTATTATCTGTTTTTTTTTTAATATCTATTCCTGGCTTCTCCGATGATCATGTTAGTTATTCGAGTCAAGTGGATTCAGTGATGACATAAAATGGTAATAATCAGAGTCAAGCTCAGTGTCAAAAGTTAACTTTAGTCACTAGGACGGAAAACAAGTTTGCAGAGTAGAATCCCGGTTGTTAATTCTTATGCCTAATTCATCATGGTTGCTATTGTTCTTATCTAGGGAGGTGGCAACAAGAGCAGATACAGCCCTGCCTGTAGACTCCTTAGATTTATCAAGTGTATATAATTTGTGATATATTATTACTAACAGCTAAGTGAAAAAACATCAGTCTGAGCTTGCTACCATCTGCAGCTCATAAGACTGCCATCCCCACGAGCCCCTTTGAGGCGGGGTAGATGGCAGACCAGAGGCCTAGCTTCTCCCTACGAGCCCCGTGAGGGCGGGGAATGTGGCTAGGCCTGGGGACACTTGGTCCCAAAGATGAGGAGGTACTTGTACCTCCTCCCATGGGAGACTTAAGTCTCGAGATACTCCCCAGATAGAGAGCCAAGGCCGGGTCACCACTACTTGGAAAAGACCCGGGCCGGGAGAATGCCGGTGAATAAAAAAAAAAAAAAAAATTGAGAAATTTCTTCTCATGCAATTGCCTGTGCAACTTTTTAAAGGAAGGGATTACTAGTGATGAGTTTCTTGGGAGGGGCTTGAAGGTATGTGATAGTACGTATATGAATACAGCTTCCATGGAGGGTTAATTGTTCCTCTGTACAGAGATGCAGTTCATGCAGGATGTGAAACTTAAAATAATTGCACGTTTTTACAAACCTTTTAGAGCTGTATTTGTGAGGGAGAGCGAAGAGTGACCGCGTTTATTTACTAGATTGACAGCTACACTTTAAGAACGAAAACTACGTTTTCTGTCTTTTTCAATTACACAGAATGGGGGATCGTAGAGTGTGTTGAAATCTATCGGCCTGAACTGAGAGACAGAGCAGTGAGGATACCGTCAATTATTCCAGTAAGGGTTCATCAGCTACGGGAGCTTTAGAGGTTTCGTTTGAGCCTAGCTGGAGTTGTACTGTCATGTGGGAATTTCCATCCCTCGAAATAGTCTATCCCAAGCGATGGGTTGACATAATGAGGAGCTAGGGGGTTGTTGATTCAGTGAAAGAGATTGAGGGGAAGGGATTGGGTGGGGATGGTCGGGTCGGTTATCGTAAACATGGTCTGCAACGTATTTCTTCACTTATGAATTAGGTGTTAGCAGGTTTGCTTAATGGACCCATGCAGGAAGAACCCGCAAGAATTCTGACACTGCTGGCCCATCTCACTACTCACAGGAATCCTGACACTGCGTGTCCCTCCCATCTCATATAAATGATAATGTGTCGTACCAAGGTTTTTGTTGACTTAGTGTTCACCGGTGCGAATTTTTTCAGGTGGAATTGCAACGTCCTTATTACAATTAATTAATCCTTCTCTACATCTAAATTAGCTAAAATTTTATGACAAACTATTTTAAACGGTACACCGTGAACACTGCTAATGTATCTTTATGTGACTACAAATAATGTGCAAATAGGTAATTTACATACACCTAATTTACTAACACGTAGACACTCACAGAACCAGGTACACACCCACACGGGCATGTAGACACACAGACAGGTAGACACCCACACAGGCAGGTAGACACCCACACAGGGAGGTAGACACACACAGATACCCACACAAACAGGTAGATACCCACACACATTTAGACACCCACACAGCAGGTAGACACCCACACAGACAGACACCCACACAGGCAGGTAGACACACACAGGGTGGTAGACACTTACACAGGTAGACAACCACACACACACTACACAGGCAGGTGGACACACACAGGGTGGTAGACGTCCACACAGAGAGGTAGACACCCACACAAGCGGGAATACATACAGAAAAAAACGCTAGCCAAAATAGTGAAAGCAACCAAGAAAAATATGCATATACCAGTATAAGGGTCAAGGGAAGGAATGACAGGCACAAGGAACTAAACAATGGTGGTATAAGAGTAAGCATGTCATGCTGAAAGATAAATAGGCAAGCAGGTAGATATGACAGACATACGGGTGAGCTAGGGAGACAAGCAAGTCAGACAAGTAGACAGATCAGGTAGACACGTCAGAGGTTATGCAGACAGATCAAGCAGATATATGAGGCAGACATCTCAACACCAACCAGGTTATGGAGACAGGTCGGGCAGACATACATATTATAATATATATATATATATATATAAAATATATAAAAATATATATATATATAAAATATATATATATATATAATATGTATGTATTACAAGCAACACAGTTGTAACATCAGATACTGGTGATGCGAGTGGTAGCAGTGGTGGTTTCCCAAAATTATTCAATACATTTTGCTTTGTGTTGGTGTGTTGTGGGGGTCGTAGTGCCTGGTGGGGGTTGTAGTGTTGATAGTAGTACCAGTATTGATGATAATAGTCTACCACATTATTCAGGCTGTCTGTGCTCATGTACTACGGAGAGTGGTGGTGGTGGTGGTGGTAGTATCGGTATTCATATGGTGTTACACACACATTTATTTATGGTGTTTTCTTGTGTTACAGAGAGTGGTGGCAGCGAGGAGCGAGCCAGGGACACCAGGTCCGACCACCACTCCTCTGACCGAGACAAGTCAGGTGAGGGAAAACTTAGTTTTTTTTTTTTATGGGGTTGATCATTTAACTGGAAACTTAACTGTGTCACCAGCAGCAGTAATCTTCCTGGGTAATGCTGGCAGTGTTAATGACGACGGACCAACTTTGATGCAGTAATTTTCATTAGAAAGGTTGAAACATTGTTAGTCTTGTCGGACGTTTTTGCTTAATAGCTTTACTGATAACGTCTGTGAATATTTTTACTAATTGAGCTGTGCCAGGTATGTTTTATTATTGTTTAATGTTTTTTATTGCTTGGTACTGTTCATTAACTCTCAATAACGTCCTTAACAGACTTTCATACTGTATATACAATTAGATTAATTTATTCAGAATAATAATCAGTTGTTCTTTGCATGGTTGTATACCAGTGAGTATGTGGGTTAAAATCTTCTTATCTGCAGATTATTATTTCCATGTGTAAAGATTAATGTCTCATTGCATAGTCTTTACTGTTTAAATGTTTATGTAATATCTTATTGTTATTACTGTTTTTATGTGTGTGTTTAGGTATTTCTTTGTAAACATTGGAACTTTTAATATATATTTTTTTCTCCGGCAGACATCTTGTTTGTATTAATTTAACATTCATTCAAGTTTGTTTTAATTGTAAAATTTATCTGATTATATTCTTGAGGTATTTAATTGTAAAGGAAATATTCAAATATTTTGTGGTTACACTTTTCTTAGGTAAGGGATGGAATTGTTTGATCAGATTAACAATTTTCGCAAAAAGTCACTAATAAATCATTGTTAAGTCACAATACCGTGATTGAAGCAGTACACAATTGACTCTCACTTTGGAGAGGAAACTTCAGACGATGTTTCGGTCCGTCCTGGATCATTATCAGGTCACAACAGTTGACTTGATAATGATTCCAGACGTCGTTTTGAAAGTTTTCTTTTCAAAAATTTGAGTTATTTGTTAAATTGTTGAAGTACTGCGTATCACATAGTGTGTGATCAATACTGTTCAGTGTATATTCCATCCAGTGCCGTAATGTTTTATTCACAGTGCATGTTCGTCTGTATATACAAAATTTCTTAATGTAATCCAGCCATGTTTGTGTTATTCAAGAAGTGATTTACGTTTGGTGTACAACTAAAAGCATTTAGGTAAAAATGTTTTGAGAACTTATTTATTAATTCTTTAGATCATTTTTTCTCCCCCTCCCCCTGCTGCTGCTCCCACCAAAGAAAGAGCAGATTTGTGGAATGTGAAATGCTGTGAAACGTGATGTGGAATGCTGTGAATGTGCACTTTTGAGGAATGTCTTGCATATTGTATGCTGATCAAACACGCATGTTAAGTTACGTTGTGGTGTGAAGGTGGCTGGTTGACTTGGTTGTCAGAAGCATTACCATTAAAAAGTCAGTTGTTGGTTATTGTTGCCTTTTTAAGTCCACTACATTTCTTTTCAACTTTCCTATATTGTTTACTTGATCCTCTGGTATAACTCTTCTTTCATACAGTTCCTTTAAGTGTTTTTCTTTTTATTTATCTTCGTTTCGACGAGTAATTAGTCTTTTCTCCTCATTATTATTTATGTAACCTCATAATACTTCTGGACTTTTCCTTTATTTCCTTTCATCGTGACTTTTTTTTTTTTCAAAACTTTTTTTTTTTTTTTTAGTAAAAATTTTCACCCAGAATATTAAAAAAAAAAAAAAAAAAAAAAAACAATTTTTTCAGTTTTATTCCACGACTTTGTTTTCCCTCCACCAACTTTTTGATGAACTTGTCACCAGGAGTTTTTTCTAATCACTTTTTTTTCTCGCCCAACTTTCTTTACTATTTTCTCACCACAACTTTTCGTCCACAACTCACAAATTACAACCGGGCCAGACCCTCGCAAGACTGGAGGCAACAGTACCGTGACACAACCCTTTTATAGGTGTTGCTTGTGCAGCGGAGTGAACATGTAATGTGTTGCTCGTGGACAGGTGTACCTGGAGCATGTGGCACGTATAGTCACACTTGTACTTCGTCTTTATTGCCTTGCCTGCGCATGTTGTCTTCTGTACCCTCATGGATTTTCAAAATATTGTTGTATATATATATATATATATATATATATATATATATATATATATATATATATATATATATATATATATATATATATTGTAATTATATATAAACACACACAAGGAAGACCAAATGTCTATTGGCAAATGCTTTTGAGAATTGGTAACTAAGATATGGCTGTCAGGCGATAATTCAAACCACCACATAAGAAAAGGGGAATAAACTTAAGGCGCCTTACGACAGTGAAGACAAGTGTCTTCAGAGACATTAAGGAACCTTGGAGTGTAAAGAGCAATTGTTGTATCAAAATCATCACAACACATAGTGTGGGGACTGACGCCTTTCATCAGATCACTGACGAAGATATTGGATATTCAGCAGTTCAAGCCTGGTTTGTCATCATGTAAGTGTATATGATAATACTGAATACATAATGAACACTTGTCGATCCACATGTAGACAGGAAAATTACAGTGGAAATAAAGCTGTATGTTTCACCTGTATTTATACAGGTATTTTATACTGTATGTTTCACCTCATATCTGCTGATGAGGACTCCAAGTTGAAATATATATTCTGATTTTCATTGTTTTCTTGTGTACATGTTGGAGACTCATTATATATATATATATATATATATATATATATATATATATATATATATATATATATATATATATATATATATATATATATATATATATATATATAGTGCGAATATTAAAGTTGTGCTCGACTGTAAACTCAGGTGTAGACTGTTGGAGACCTCACGGCTTCAATTGCATAATAAACAGGAAAATATCTGAAACCGGATTTCTTAATGATCATGTCAGCTAGATCAAGACTGGCGTCCCAAATCTCTCTCCACTTTGCTTGTTGATCACCACCAATACTACTTCCCCTCAGCACTCAACATTGTTTTTATAAAGTGAACGAAACAGTTTGAAAATCAAGGTTTAGTCTAATGCTCTTATCTGGGTCTGTGGTCTGGAAAATCTCTCAAGTCTTTCTGTTATTTAGGGAAAAAAATATATACATCAGAAATGTGCACAATGCCGTAGAGGGGAGGGGAGGAGGGAGGGTGAAAGTGGAACATCGAGTAATCGTTTCTGCATGATGTTGCAACATCAGATGAATGAAACATTAGCAGCCTTCCTTCATAAACGCGCGCGCGCGCGCACAATTTTTAATAGCACTGCGTGTGCTGTAAAGTCTCTGGATGTATTGAAGCGCTGCAGACTGAAGACGAATACCCTCAAGTTTCAGAACAAGTTTTTATTGGTGTTAACGTTTTGCTTTGTTTGGAGGTTGACTTAAAACAGCTGTACACAGAGCGAGACGTTGTGCCAATAATAGCTTGCTCTGCAACTTGTCTTCGTCTTCATTTCTAGTTGCAAGTACAGAACCAGGTTTTTTTTTATCCCAAGCTACAGCTAGGAAAAAAAAAGTTGGTGTAAGTATCATATGTAGTGTATTGCAATTTGTATTTATACAAGTAAATACGTAGACACACACACACACACACACACACACACACACACACACACACACACACACACACACACACACACACACACACACACACTCAACAACACAACCCCACACCTTCCCACCCACACTCTCACTCACACACACACTATCTTTCCTATCCCACTTTCTCTCCCTCTTCATCTTCCTTCTCATCCTCCCTACTCCTCATCCCTGTTGCTTTTCCCCCTGTCCCCCCTAGCCTTCCCCCCATCTCTCTTCCCTCTGCTGCTGTTTCCCCTCCCGCTCACTATCCTCTTCCCCTCCCTCAACGACATGACGGAAGGGATAGACTCAGAAGTGTGTCTGTTTGCAGATGATGTGAACTTAATGAGGAGAATTAAATCAGATGCGGACCAGACAGGTCTACAAAGAGACCTGGACAGGCTGGATGCGTGGTCCAGCAACTGGCTTCTCGAGTTTAACCCCGCCAAATGCAAAGTCATGAAGATCGGAGAAGGGCAAAGAAGACCGCAGAGAGAGTATAGGCTAGGAGGTCAAAGTCTGCAAATCTCACTCAAGGAGAAACATCTAGGAGTGAGTATAATACCGAGTACGTCGCCAGAAGCACACATTAACCAGATAACTGCTGCGGTATATGGACGCCTGGGAAACCTGAGAATAACGTTCCGGTACCTCAGTAAGGAATCGTTCAAGACTTTATACACTGTGTACGTCAGGCCCATACTGGAGTACGCAGCACCAGTTTGTAACCCACACCTGGTCAAACACGTCAAGAAATTAGAGAAAGTGCGAAGGTTTGCAACAAGGCTAGTTCCAGAGCTGAGGGGAATGTCCTACGAAGAAAGGTTAAGGGAAATCGGTCTGACGACACTGGAGGACAGGAGGGTCAGGGAAGACATGATAACGACATACAAAATACTACGTGGAATTGACAAGGTAGACAGAGACAGGATGTTTCAGAGATGGGACACAGAAACAAGGGGTCACAATTGGAAGCTGAAGACTCAGATGAGTCAAAGGGATGTTAGGAAGTATTTCTTCAGCCACAGAGTTGTTAGGAAGTGGAATAGTCTGGCAAGTGGAGGCAGGAACTATACATAGTTTTAAGACGAGGTATGATAAAGCTCTTGGAGCAGGAATGAGGATCCAGTAGCAGTCAGTGAAGAGGCGGGGCCAGGCGCTGAGTCTTGACCCCTGCAACCACAATTAGGTAAGTACAATTAGATGAACACACACACACACACACACACACACACACACACACACACACACACACACACACACACACACACACACAATGCACATACTACAGGCCTAGTGTCTAATCGACATGTGCCTAGGACAAAATGGTAACTAACACACACACACATGCCCACACATACCCACACATACACACACATACACACGTACACATATACACTAAGCGCACTAGAGAATGGAAAAAGTACAGAAGACAAAGAAC